GAGAGAGAGAGAATTTTTAATATTTATTTTTTAGTTCTCGGCGGACACAACATCTTTGTTGGTATGTGGTGCTGAGGATCGAACCCGGGCCGCATACATGCCAGGCGAGTGCGCTACCACTTGAGCCACATCCCCAGCCCCCATAGTAATTTTTAAATTTTTACTTTTTGGCAGTACTGGAGATGGAAGCTAGGGCACACTACCCCTGAGCTACATCTCCCAGCCTTTTTTGTTTTTAATTATTATCATGAGACAAGGTCTCACTAAGTTGCCCACTTTGGCCTTGAATTTGCAATCCTTCTGTCTCAGCTTCCTGAGAAGCAGGGATTACAGGTGTGCCCTATCAAGTCTGGTTTTAAGTCTATTATTTTTGATGTTATAGTGAGTGGAGTTGTTTTCTTAATTTTATTTCAGATTATTCATTGCAGTCAGGTGAGTGGCATATGTCTATAATTCCAGCTACTCAGGAGGCTGAGGCAAGAGGATCACAAGATGAAGCCAGCCTGGGCAACTTAGTGAGACACTATGTTTAAGTGAAATTTAAAAAAGGCTGGGAATGTAGCTCAGTGGTAGAATGTTTGCCTAGTGTGTATGAGGCCTGGGTTTAATCCCAAGTGCTACAAAAAACAAACAAAAGGAAATCAACACCAGATTGTTTATTGCTAGTGTGTAGAAATAAAATTGATATTTGTGTGTTGATCTTGTATCCTGTAAGCTTGCTGAATTTGTTTATTAGCTCTAATAGGTTTTTTGGATATCTATTGTCCTGAAGTCTTTTTTTTTTTTTTTTTTTTTGGTGCTAGAGATTGAAGATAGGGAAACTTCCACTGAGCTATATCCCCAGCCTTTTTATTTTTTATTTTGAGGCAGAGTCTTATAAGTTGCTTAGGTCTTTGCTAAGTTGTTAAGGCTGGCTTTGAACTTGCGATCTTCCCGCCTCAGCCTTCTGAGTGACTGGTATTATAGGCAAGCACCACTGTGCCTGACTTGTCCTGAAGTCTTAATGTTGAATTTTACTTTCAGGTCAAAAAGCAACCTTGAATGCAGAAGAAATGGCTGACTTTTATAAGGAATTTTTAAGTAAAAATTTTCAGAAGCACATGTATTATAATAGGTAAGTGTTTCTTTCCTTCCTAAAAGTTGGATTGGGCAAAATTATTTTCTGACCTGAATTTAGCAGTTTTGAGATTTATATCAGAGGTAGAAGTGCATGATTTTGTCCACTTCACTTGCACTTTAAAATAAAATGGCCAGCCACGGATTATTGGCATGATGCCATGGCAGTTCTTGTTCCTAGTCCTTGGACACTAGTTCATTGTGCTTCCTCGAGAAGCCTGTGCAGGGTAGGAAGGGTGCAGGCTGAGTGCAGACATTGACTGGCTGGAAGCAAGGAGGCTGTCAGTCAGCTTCCCAAAGGTGGTGGCATACCTTTGCATTCCAGATGACTGGTCAAAGCTTACAGGTCACCTCAGTATGGCCACACTACCAAGTCGTTAGTCTGGAAATTGATAAACAGAAGGAAAGATTCCAAAGAATGCCCCACTTTTCTGCCTTTCCTGCACCAGCAGTGTATCATGGTGACCACACAAAGCAGCACTGCCTCTGTAGGAGAAAGACAACCAGTACAGAGAGATGACTTAGCAAGTTCCCATTTTCCTAATGAAGTAACAGACCTACGCAACAGTTACCCTGGCAGCCAACACCCCTGGCTGGAAGACTGGTGGGGATGGAATAATTAAGGGTCAGAATGACACACCTGCAGCCCCAGCACACACACCATGGAGCAGGGCAGCCTCTGTGACAGGACGGAAGCACAGACAATGCCCTGTGTAGGGTTCTTACAGAAGATGGAGTTACAATGTGGTTGGGCCTTCAAACAAAATGCTGGTTTGCAAGGAAATACTAAAGRGGCAACGTAGAAGACAGTGTTTGAGGTGAAGCTCGAAGATGCCCAACACTGAGGATTCTGCAAGCCAGTGAGTCAGGCTCTTCAACAAGTAGCCAGGAAGACAACAAAAAAAGGGGCTAGGGTGGTAGAGCATTCCAGCATACTCAAGGGCCTTAGTGTCATCTCTGGCATCAAAAAAGAGGCAGGGAAAGGGGGCAGCTATTGTAGACTAAAAGAAGCTTCATGCAATGTCTAGGCTTGTTTAGGCCCTGATTGACACACAGCAGCTGTAAAGAAATGTTTGGATGAAAGAGAGATTTGGGCAGATGGAGGAGGTTGGGCAGGGACTATATATTAGTTATGGATCATCTTAGATGCAGTGATGGTATGGTGATTATGGGTTTTTTAAAAATATTTTAGTGAGTTATAGATAACATGTAAAACAGGGACACAGTCATATCAATATTTATAGCAGCATAATTCACAATAGCTAAATAGCTAATAATAACCAACCTAGATGCCCTTCAATAGATGAATGGTTAGGGAAACTGTGGTATATATACACACAATGGAACATTACTCAGCATTAAGAGAATAAAATCATGGCATTTGCAGATGATGAAGTTGGAGAATATAAAGCTAAGTGAAGCAAGCCAGTCTCAAAAAAACCAAAGGCCAAATGTTTTCTTTGATATGAGGATGCAGTCACATAATAGTGATTGGGAGGGATCATGGGAGGAATGGAAGAACTTTAGATAGGGCAAGGGGAAGGAGGGGAAAGGAGGGGGCAAAGGGGTAGGAATGATGGTGGAATGAGTGAGATATCATTACCCTAAGGACATGTATAAGACACAAATACTTTGTATACAATCAGTGACTTGAAAAATTGTGCTCTATATGTGTAATATAAAGTGAATTGCAATTCTGCCATCATATATTACAAATCAGAATAAATTTTTAAAAAAGGAAAAAATAATACATGTACATTTAGAGAGGCTAAACACGCATACACCCCCCCMCACACACACACCCACACAAACCCCAAAAACCACAACAACAATCAGGTAGGGAGATTACAGAATGTCAAGACATGAGAATGTGTAACAATCTAATATGATCTCAACAGTTAATCCTAAGGACATTAAACAGAAAGAAGGAAACTGAGAAAACAAAGTAAATAAAAACAAAACAGTATATTAATAAATATCAAATCAAAATACTGACATGTATACCAAGATGGAATAAAAAAAAAAAAAACATGTAAAATACCAGTGTATCCAGGTGAAATGATAGATTGGTAGTTTAGATTTGCTTTAAAATATAACAGTGACAGGGGCTGGGGCTGGGGCTCAGTGGTAGCGCATGTGCCTGGTATGTGTGAGGCACTGGGTTCGATTCTCAGCACCACATATTAAAAAAAATAATAAAGATCTATCAGCAACTAAAAAAGTATTTTAAAAATTTTTTAAAGGGCTGGGGATGTGGCTCAAGCTGTAGCGTACTTGTCTGGCATGCGTGCGGCCTGGGTTTGATCCTCAGCATCACATACAAACAAAGATGTTGTGTCGGCCGAAAACTAAAAAATAAATATTAAAATTCTCTCTTTAAAAAAAAAAGGCTTTGTTTAAAAAAAAATTAAAAAATATAAAACAGTGACAGAGTCAGATGGGCAAGTGAGGGAAGACCAAGAGGACACTGATGATAGTTGAAGCTGAATGAGCTCCTGAAAGGAGCCTTGATCAAAGATTAGTCCTGAAACATCTGGGTCCTGCTCCTAAGACTGTGGAGCGTCTCTCTGTACTGGTTAAGCTTTTAGCCAAGTGAGTGTAAGGGCCAAGAGCCTGTCTGCACCAGACCTGCTCCCCACAGGCTTGATGTGGATGGCACAGGGCACCCTTCCCACCCATACATCAGGCAGGTGTCTGCACTAGTGACAAGGGAGTCTGGCTTTTCCTGAACCCCAGACCTTGGTCCTCACGGAACTCCGGTTTTGCCTTCCCCGAGCCATTTGTCTTAAGCACTGTTCCTCACTGCAGCCTCACATCAGCAGGTGGAAACAGATGTCCTCGGTCAGGGAGTGTGGAGGTGGCTCACCTCTTGTGGCTGCCTTAGCATCCTGGGTTGTTCTCCTTCCTTCACACAGAGGTCCCGAAATCACTTGTGTAACTCTGAAATAGAAGCTGCACAGACATGTGTCGTCCTTGTGGCAGCCCCAGCTTGACCCAAGCTTTTGTTGTGCACCTCCCCTCACGTGAGCTCTCCAGGCTCCTCCCATGTATAGGCTTCTGTCAGCTTCTGTCCAGTAACTGTCAGGCAGTGCAGACTCCCCCAGCACAGTATGAACTGTTTCCTTAGAATCAGCTTACGCAGAAGCACAGGTCCCCCACAAGAGGAGCACATGGAACATCACGATGTCAGGCTCGCCAGGAGTTAGCTTCTCACACTGCAGTGCTTCTGCTGTGTGCTGTCATGCAAATAAGGGCCACATCAAGACTGACCCACGATTCCTGCAGAGCCTGCTGGCTGTGGCTCTTTGGTCCTCTTGCTTCCTTCCTCAGTTATCTCTCCAAGAAGGCCACTAGACAGAGGGCAGGCTCTTAGGAGTCCTTTAGCAAGACCAAAGGATGGGGGCAGATGCTTCACCTGCACCTGTCCTGATGGGAGGGCAGGAAAGATGCCTTCTGTGGAGATACAGCTTGGGGCAGGGGAAGACCTGGGGAGGAGGGCAGAGCAAAATTCACCTCTGCTGGAGCTGCTTGCTTGTCAGGCCCCATCCCTGGGGCTCATCCTGGATGCCTCCTGTTTCCCTGCAGAGACTGGTACAAGCGTAATTTTGCCATCACCTTCTTCATGGGGAAGGTGGCCCTGGAGAGGATTTGGAACAGGCTGAGATGGAAACAAGAGAAGAGGAGCAGTTAGGAGCCCATCCTGATGCTGGCCCACCAGAGCCTGGGTTCCACTTACGAGAGCCCTGGGCCTCCGTCTCCTGGCAGGACCACCTGCTCCCTCCTGACCTCGGTCCCAAGCTGGCTTGTCATCACAGAGGCAATGTTAAATAAAGCCTAGCACAGCATGTCTGTTTTCTGAGTCTTGAATTTCACCAATTTAGGATAGAACAGTGTACAAATGTTAATAAAACTCACTTGAAAAAAGTGACTCAGTGATGGGAATATATTTGGAAGCTAGTGGCTGCCAAGTGAAGTGTCCACTGGCTGCAGTGTTACTACCTGAAACCTGTGAGTTAGTAGTGCGTCATTGAGTGTGCAGGGCCCAGGCCCTGACTATAGCATGGTTATCTTGAAACATGAGCAGGTGAGGCAATCTCTGTCCAAGAGACTAGCGATGACAGAGAAATGCCCTCGAGCTCTCCTGCCCTGTCTTAGGGAGGTAGGACCTCAGCTTCCATCCTCATAGTCTGGTGAGGAGAATTGCTGGGTACCTGTAAGGGTAGAGGGGGACACAGTGTTTGTTGTGACCGTGGGACTCTTGGATGACGTATGTTAAGGTTTGGGTCTGGAGTGATTCCCAGCTGATGGTGCTGTTGAGAGAAGGTAGGTCACTGGAGGTGTGCCCTTCAAGGGGCTCTTGGGGCCCACCCCTTCCTCTCTGCTACCTGGCCAGCATAGGGTGAGCAGCTTTGCTCCACCACGTGCTCCTTGCCATGATGCTTTGCCTGACCACAGGTAAAGGAAATGGAGCCCAGCCGGCCATGGATGAAGCCCTGAAGCCAAAATAAACCTTCTTTCCTCAGGTAGTTCCTGTTGTCACAGCAATAGGAAGCTGGCTAGCACACTCCTGGGTAGTGCTTCTGCTGAGGGTCCTCTCAGACCCTGAGTGGTCTGCCTGGTGCAAAGACAGTACAGTCATGAGCAAATGGGCTGTGCCCTTTAGCTCAGCTAGTGGCTGGAGGCTGGTGGCCAGGGCAAATGTTCATATGGTGCAAGGACTGTTGTAACATAGCTTATCTCATCACCAGCTCACCTCCCTAAGGTCCTCAGGGATCCTGGGTCTTTCTTCCTGGGGTTTCCAGAAAGAAAGGTCAAAGAGCTCTGGTCAGAGGTGGGCAGGGAGTGTCAAGACTAGAGTTCTCTGGGGTTTGAACCAAGGCTTGGTGGCTGCTGGGCAAGCACTGTACCACTGAGTTACACTCCCAACCTGAATTGTCCGTCCTCACAGTGAGCAAAGCCCCAAAATAGTGTCAATCCCAGGGACCACCTGCAGAGACACTGGCTTCCAGCCAATGGGTGACTGGTGGGTAGAGCCAGTCCCCATCCAGTAGCAGTGGCTGCAAGCACAAAGTGGAAAGCAGAGCTGTGGGCCAAGCAGAACTCTCACTTGTGCCTCTGGAGCCCCTCAGATCTCAGGCCAAGAGTGCTGTATTCAAGGGTGGCTCACAAGTGAGCCAGAGACGAGCACAGCTGTGTGAAGACAAAGCTGAATTGCTAAGTGCCTCGTTAAGTTGCTGAGGCTAGCATTGAACTTGCATTTTTCTTGCCTCAGCCTCCTGAGCCACAGGGATTAGAGGTGTGTGCCACCGCACCCAGCTCAGAAGTATCCATTCTGTACAGACCCTGTGCATCTCCTGCACTTGTCATCTGACATGAGCCATGTGGTAAATTGGGGTCCAGCATTGGCAGAATAGTTCCGGCTGAAGACCTGCGAGTAGTAGTCGCAGTTACCTGAGTGGTGTTCTGTCTTTGGTGCCAAGAGGTTCGACTTGATTCTTGGTGTTCAGTGTGCTGCTGGATTTTAAGTGCTGTATGCAGAGTGTCAAGAAATGCTTCACTGTGCTACCTTTTTGGATTCTTCAACCTTTTTTATTATTTATTTATTTTTTTATGGTACTTCAGATAGAAGCCAGGGCCTTGGGCTTGCTGGGCTGGTGCAGAACCACCAAGCTGCCCCCAGCCCTTCAGTGGGATTTTATCGTCACTTTACATGTTTGCGCTTGAGATCATGAGGACAAAATTTAACCAGTAATTTACCATGGCAGTGCTTCGTGGCAGTGCTTTTTAAAAAATAAAAAGTACAGTCTTTTTATTTTTTTTTTTCTGTCAGTACTGGGGATTGAACCCAGGGCTTGGTGCTGCTAAGCAAACACTGTACCACTGAGATATATTCCCAACCTGGATTTTTAAACATTTAAGATTAAATGGCACACCTGTAATCCCAGCAGCTCAGGAGGCTGAGGCAGGAGGATCACAAATTAAAAGCCAGCTTCAGCAACAGTGAGGCACTAAGCAACTCAATGAGACCCTGTCTCTAAAGGAAAAGTCCAAAATAGGACTGGGGGCTGGGGATGTGGCTCAAGCGGTAGCGCGCTCGCCTGGCATGCGTGCGGCCCGGGTTCGATCCTCAGCACCACATACCAACAAAGATGTTGTGTCCGCCGAGAACTAAAATAAATAAATAAATTCTCTCTCTCT